GTTCTTCAAAAAGCTAAACATAGAATTTTAACACGATTCAGCAATTCCACTCCTAGGTATATACCCAAAAGACTTAAATTAAAGCAGGGACTCAAACAGATCCTTATACACCAATGTTCATTGCAGCATTACTCGCAATAGCCAAAAGGTGGAAACAACCCAAGTATCTAACAATGGATGAATAAATAAACAAAATGTGATACATAGGTACAATGGAACATTATTCAGCCATAAGACGGAATGAAGTTCTGATATATGCTACGACATGGATGAATCCTGAAAACAATATGCTGAGTGACACAAGCCAGTCACAAAAGGACAATTATTATATGATTCCACATACATGAAATATCTAGAACAGGCAAATGCATAGAGACAGAAAGTAGATTAGAAGTTACCATGGGCTGGGGAGAAGGGGAATGGGGAGTTACTGCTTAATGGGGACAAAGTTTCTTCCTGAGGTGATGAAAAGTTTTGGAACTAGATAGTGATGAAGGTTGCACAACATTGTGAATATAATTACTGCCACTGAATTGTATACTTAAAAGTGGTTAAAGTGGGACCTATGATGTTATGTATATTTTACAATAAAATTGAAAAAGAAAAGTTGGGATGTAATAAAAAGGTACTTGCAAGCGTAGTCTCCTTCAGATGATGGGTCAGGAAAGTGCTCTCAGGTAAGATCATGGGAGGGAAATCTCCAGAAGCCCAGAAGCCAAGCAAGCAGGACATCCTGAAGACCAAGGCTAGGACTGAGGAAGGAGGAGCTGGCCTGGAGGGCTGAATGTACATCCCGAGCTCCCACCACAAGAGAAAAAGAGGTCAGAGGGGTGAAGGACGGGCATGGATGAAGTAACAAAGTACTGTAAAATCACGTAGAAGGCGTTCCAAGGCCCACTTGGAAGGTAAACTGAGGATATGAACTGTTCACTCCCTACTATGACCCAGTAATTCCACCCTTAGGTATATACCCAAAAGAACTGAAAGCAGGGACTCAAGCAGATACTTGTACACCAATGTTCACTGCAGCATTACTCACAATAGCCAAACGGTGGAAACAACTCAAGTGTCCATCAATAGATGAATGAATAAACACGATATGGTCTATCCATATCATGGAATATCACTTCTCTCTCCTTCATTTTTACTGGTGTCTCCTTTGATGGGATATGAATCAATAGGATATAAACTTTTAATTTGAATATTTAAAAAGGCAAAAACAAAACAAAAAACTTCACTGGGGAAAATCAAGACAGAAACGAGAAATGAGAGACATAGGCCTCTGGAAATTCTGTTCTATATGGAAAACAAATATTTCTGACCCATTCTGCTGCCATCAGGAAAAAATAAGCCAATTACCCTGAAGGAAATTCTATCCCAGCCATGTCCTATGATGTTCTGTTCATGGCCCATCCAGGGAGGTCTCAGCCTGCACCCAGATGGAAGCCCCTGACTGCCATGGTAGAGATCCCTGAAGAGCTGTCATAATATCTCAAAATCCAGAGAAAGATCCATGGTCTCACATCTGGTAATTCTAGGACCTTGGGAATTTTCCTGAGTAATTCAGTAGTAGAAAAAGCAATGTGAACACATATTCACTGTGGTATTGTTTGTGAAAGTGAAAAATAAAAAATAACAAGGAGACGGCTAAATAAATGATTGTACATTAACTCAATGGGAATGAATGCAGTCATTAAAATGACTCCTGTGCATACTGCATAACACTGTAAATATTTCCCACACTAAATGGAAAAAAAAACCTACACTTATCATTATGACTTATGCCTCTTGACAAAATATTTCAGAAAGCACAGCAAAAAATAAAAACAATTATATTATGGATGGATATGAATGTCATAATAATGATATTTTTAATTTTAATTTCTATGGAAGTTATACAAGCATGTGATTTAAAAAAATTAATTTGAATTGAAACTAAAAACACTCATAGAAGAAAACAACAGTCTCCTGACTTCCACCTCCAAAGACATAGCAGCCCCAAACAATTTCAGTTGCTTCTCTGGGTATTTATCTCTATATTTCTAAATAATAGGTTTACGCTAATATTTCTTTATTTTCAACTTTTAACTTTTTACCTTAGAGAATGAGATAGAGCTCTCCTATACATATTAACACGCACATATCCTCTCCCCTGTTTTTTGAATACGGTAGTCCCCCCTTATTCATGGGGAATACGTTCCAAGACCCCCAGTGGACGCCTGAAACCACGAATAGTACCAAGCCCTGTATATACTATGTTTTTTCCTATATGTACATACCTATGATAAAGTTTAATTTATAAGTTAGATGCAGTAAGAGATTAACAACAACAATAAAACAGAACAATTATTAAGTAAAATAAGGGTTACTTGAACACAAGCACTGTAATACCACAACGGTCGATCTGATAACCGAGATGGCTACTAAGGGGCTGATGGGTAGAGAGTGTACACAGCATGCATACGCTGGACTAAGGGATGATTCACCTCCCAGGTGGGACAGCGAGGGACAGTGAGAGATTCATCACGCTACTCAGAACCGCGCGCAATTTAAAACTTATGAATTGTTTATTTATGGAATTTCCCATTTAATATTTTTAGACTGTGGAAAGCGGAACTGCAAATAAGGGGGGACTACTGTACAGCTATGTGACAATTTCTTGTTATATGAATCTTCACTGCTTACATTATTATGACTATGTAAATATTGTTGAAAGCTAAGCCACATAGTATACTATGATTATATTTCCTTTCTTGTTCAACTTCTTATTTTTCCTATAGTTGACAGTTGCCTCATTTTTTAACTTCCTTTGTTTTCAATATATTGATCACTAATTCTTCCTCAATTCACCAAAAGAGCTATAAAACTCATCACAATACAGTAAATATGTCAGAAAACCAATCAGTTCCATATTTCTCCTGGGGTCCTCTGCCATCTTGCTCCAAACTGGGTTGGTTGCTCCTAGGCCAGCTGCACAGCTGTGGTACTGGCTTCACCATCATTACGAAAATTCTATTCACCTCTCTCTGGATCAGTCAGGGTTCTTGGTTGCAAGTAAAGAAGCCAACTCTAGCTGACTAAACAGGGAAGGAGCTGATAGATTATCCGACATATTTGTTGTATTTTGATGAGTTTTACAGTTCTGTTGGAGAGTTTCAGAAAGATACAGTGACCAATACATTGCAAACAAAGCAAATAAAAGAAGGTCACTATCAACTTGAGGAAAAACAAAAAGTTCAACAAGAAAGGAAATATAATTGTAGTACACTATGTGGGCTCCATGATGCAGAACCACATCTGATAACAAAATGGCTGTTGTTGCCACTGATCACTGGGTACCAGGAAGTTGACCTTGCAGCCATCACTGCTGCCATCACTACAGTCATGGCTAGCGTACACTCTTCACCCCTTTCTTCTGTCACCGGCTCTTATGTCAAAATGTGGCATAGGTGAATCTCATCAATGGATCCCAGGCCATAGCCTTTGTCCTGACTACAGAGGCTCAGAAGTGAGTACTTCTCAGTTCTCATAGGGGGAGGTCATTTTTCTTTTTCCCCACTCCCAAAACTCAAAGTAATATAATAGCTGAAACAAAGAAAGTCATTTGGCAGCTGAGCAGCCAGAACAAGGGACACCTGCCCATTGTACCACTTGTTCTTTTTTCTTGATTTATTCCCTCATTTTCGTGGAGCACATCCTCCAGTAGCCTTCTTGAAAAGGGATATGAAGGAGGATGATGTTTTTTAAAATTCACGTCTTAAAAAATATCTTTACTCTTTTACTTGAATGATAGTGAACACAGAATTTCCTTTGGAAATTTGAAAGTATCTCTCCATTGTCTTCTAGCCTCTAGTGTCAATTTCAAAAAGTCTGATGCCATTCTGTTCACCATTCTTCATGTGGCCTCTTTTCTCTCTAGTAGCTTTTATCAAACAGCTGGGCAGGAGTCCCTGGGTGGTGCACACAGCTAATGCATTCAGCTGCTAACCAAAGGTCGGACATTTGAGTCTACCCAAAGGTGCCTCGGAAGAAAGGCCTGACAATCAACTTCTGAAAAATCAGCCATCGAAAACCTTATGGAGCACAATTCTACCCTGACACAAATGGAGTTGCTGTAAGTAAGAATGGACTTGACGGAACTTCTTTTTCCTAATCCAGTATGACCTAATCTTACTTGATTACGGCTGCAAAGACCCTATTCCAAATAAGGTCACATTCACAGGTTCTAGGTGGACATGAATTTGGGGGGGGAGGGGACACTATTCAACCCAGAAGTTTTGAAAGACATACAGAAAATGAGCTTGACATTAGTGGGAGAAGAAAGCCTCAAAGGAGCAACAGCTCCTCCTCTTTCCGTTCTGAAGACACGGCTGTTGCTCAAGGAGCTCGCTTACCATCCCTAGCTATCTCAGGACCCCAGATGGGGACATTTAGTCCAACGCCAGTCATTCTCTGGTCTGTTTCTTCATTTGCACAATGAGATGACTGCATTCATTTTCTAAGCCTAATATCCTAGAAGCTCCAAAGAGTATCTCATTCCTGATAAAGTGATAGCCAACTCTGGGGGAAAAGAAATGTCCCTATCTAAGGACTCTTTGAGAAGCAATACCGAGTTAGAAAAATTAAATTCACTTCCTTCTGAAGAATATTCTAGTTTTTCTTTCCCAAAATAGGTCAACTCAACTCCACCATGACTGTAGTGAGTCAACTGCCAAATCCTGCAGCTTAAGAATGGGTTCCTGAGAGCAAAACCACACCTTCTTTTCCCAGGCAGCATCTCTCCTTTGGGAACCTGGCTGAAGTCTAGTTATCTTCCCCCTTTGCCAGCTCCTAGCATAAATTTGGGTCATTCTCTCCCTTTAGGCATTTTAGTGCATGGAGAAGCTGTCCTTGGCGAGACACTCAGGGAGGGCAGAGTTGGTTCACGTTCTTAATCTGTCTGCAAAATAATGTTTCTTCTTCCTCCCACTCCCACATTTGCTCCCCTACCTCCAGCCTACCTCCCTGGGATGGTCCAAGAAAGAGCAGAAGCAAAGGACCTTCTGTCTGGTAGATTAGCGATGCTTTAGAATCAATGAGTGTCATTCCGCCCTTGCCTCACTCTGGCTTCTTATGTGCCTAAAAAAAAAAAGAGAGAGAGAGAGAAATTTAAAAAGAGAGAGAGAAGATACTTTCAAGATCTATCCATGTGGGATCAAACTGATAACAGGGACTTGAAGGATTAGATAGGAAACTTAGGGGGCAGTGAGTTTATGTTAATGGGGGAGGAACAACTCAGAAAAGGAGAGTGAGAATGGTTGCATAACCCGAAGAACGTAATCAATGTCACCGAATTGTACATGTAGAAACTGTTGAACTGCTGCATGTTTTGCTATGTATATTCTCAACAACAACAACAAAAATAAATTATTAAGAAGAGAGAGAGAATCTCAGAAACCTTCTCTTATAAGATTTGAGCTCAAAAACAACTGCTTCACCTCATTTCTCTTTTTGCAAACCAGTCACATTCAGCTTGGTCGGCCTTTCTCACCATCTGCATTCATGCCACCCCCAGCTCCCTTTGGGGGTACTGAGCAAAATACAGGAACATCTCCAGGGCCTGAAGCAAGAATATGCTGACGACTGAAATCAGTTCTAGAGTTGTTTGTTGGTTTTGTTTTGTTTTTGAAAGCAAAGTAAGTGATCTGAGTCAGGCCTGGGTTCGAGTTCCATTCAGTGGTTGTGAGAAGCAGGTCTGTGAACCTGAGACAGTGCAATTCCCGTATGAATCTAACTTCAAGGCTCAAATCACATCAAAAAGGAAAATCCATCACCGCTCGGCTGGAGATGAAAAGAAAGGCCGCCCTTGTTGAGAATGAGACGGGAGGGGGCCACCCACTCACTGGATCCGTGATGATTCCCCACCCCCCACCCCACCATCCCGGAAATAATCTGACCCCTGGGAGAGAAAGATGCCTGATCTCCGGAAGCCTGGCCGCCTGGATTCCAGCAGTAGGACCCCCACCCCACCCCCATGTCCCTGGGTGTCCCTATCTCCACAGGGTGGGGAGTCCTGCCTGGAACCCACCAGGCAGGGCTGGGAAGGGCTCCTGACAGGTAGGAAATGGAGACCATTGCTGGACCCGATGGAAAAGGTGTCTATTACGGGAACACATCTGAATTCACCTTGCCACCAGCCCAGGCCCTGGGAAGAGGACACCCGGTTGCAGGAGCCCAGGAATGTGGGCTGGGACGGTCGCTTCACCCAGCACCCCGGGGAGAAGCGCCAGGACTTCCTGGGGCAGAAAAATGGGAGGCCGGAGCCCAGAGCTAAGGAAGAAATCACCCCCCTTGCTGACCAATATAGAAAGGCCAATACTGGAGTTAGCAAGAGGATCGATAATCCCAGCTCAGTAACAGGGAATTGAGACATGATAGTAGGAAAAAAGATAAGGGGAGATAAAGCAAAAAGGATGATCCAGCCCAGAGAAGGAGAGTTAGAGAAGGCAGGGAAAGAACTGGTCCTAAGGAATTCAGGTCAGGAAATTAAGAAGCCAGGAGAGAATGCACAAGAGGGCGGCCAGGGAGAAGGCGCTTCCCTAGAGGAAGGTCAGCCTTCGGCCAGGACCTCAGGACCTAGTCTGCGGCCGCTAAGCCCTCAGGTTCATGGGCGACCCTCCGGATGGTCAGATCAAAGGATGCTCCTCGCGCGCCTCCCGAATGCGGGCAGGGGGAGGGGAGGACGCGCACGGCCACTGCTCCGTCCCTGACAAGTAAACAGCTCGCCCCAGACAAGCGCGTCCTCGAACGGGGCCCAGCGGAGGGCCCTGCACTTCCTATCAAGGGCGGCAGAGGAGACACCCCGGATCACCATCCTCCCGGGGCACAAACGGGACTCAGTCAGACCAGGGGGGAAGCAGGGCATCGCACCAGCACCACCAGAGAAGGAGAAAGCGAGCCCGACTCTCCCTCGGCCTGGGTCCTGTCCGCCACCAGCCCCCACGCCCCTGGACCACGATCTTCTCCACGGCCCACGCCTGCCCCGCCCCAGGCGGACAAAGCCCGGCGCCTGGCGGGCGTGCGCTCCAGGGGGCACTGGGACCCCGCAGACGCCCGCGCAGGTAGGTTCCGTACCGGTGTCGGGGGCTCGGGGGCGGGGCCCAGTCTCCCTGGTGACGATTGCCCAGGGGACGCTGCAGGCAGGTCCCAGAGTGACAGGAGACAGCGAGCCTCCAGGCGGTGGCGCGGAGCTCGCAGGGGCCTGAGGGCAGCCCGCGAGCGCTGTACGGGATAGCAGCGCATCCGCCGAGAGGCGCGGCCCGGGGCGGGGCCCGACAGCGGGCCGGCGGGGCGGGGCGTCCCCGGGGGCGGGGCGTAGGCATCCATGAGGGCGGGGAGGGGCGGGGAGTAGGCGACCCCTGGGGTGGAGCGGGTCGTCAGCTGGGGAGGCGGGCGGGGCGCCGACGGGGCGGGGCTCGGCCCGCCCGGCGCGGCTGGGGCACCGTCCACAAATTCTCACACCCCAAGGGAGGAGAAGCGCGAAGGCGTGAGAGGCCCCGGGTAGCAGAGGGAACGGCTGAAAATTTTCCCCGAGCCCCACCGCTCCCGCTGGGAGGCCTGAGGCGGGGTAGGCTGGGTCTCTCCCCCAGCCGCCGCCAACCGGGACAGCGCTCGCAAGCAGACTGGTAGCCTCGATCTTGCCCCGGAACCGAGGACAGATAGAAAATGACATTTGCAAAGTGAGTGAGGACTGGTCGTCCGCCAAACCGCTCCATGCTCCCTGGTTCCCCAGGAATCACCAGAAAGGACGAGTACGGGACCCAGGTCACAGATCCGGAGTCTGGGTCACCCGAGTAAGCGGCCCAGTCGGACTCTGGGCACCAAATCCCGGGTGCTGGTTGTTCCCCCAGCCGCAGAGCTTTCCTTTCCATCGGGAGTTGCCTTAGTATAGGACTTAGAAGATAAATGGGCTTATCGGGGACTTTCACTAATGCATCTATTCAGTACAATGAGCCCGAGGCGTGCTGGCCGATGACCCCAGGAAATAATGCGACAAGCACTTCGGGGCACCTCACACCCAGCTCCAGGGCTTACCCACGTCTGACACCGCGAGGTAGGTGCTGCTCAGAGGGTGAGGACTCTTACCCTCCCAGACACACTCACACGCAGACACACACATGCACTCGGACACAATTACATACACGGGCACAGACATCCACACACAATTCTCAAAGCCTCTAAACGGCAGAGTTAGCACTGGAACCAGTTTGGTTTGACCCCAAACCCATCCGCTTCCTCTAATGCCCGGCCGTATCCCTTAGAGTTTACTCTCTGGTCCACAGCCCTGGACTTAAACCTTTGCCACAGTAGAGCTCAAGAGGAGGTAGGGGGTTTAGGATCAGAATTACCCGTTCGGGGTGGGGCACACAAGGGCTGGGGGAAGGTGATTGTTCTAACTGCTCGGAGCACACTGCCTCTTTTCCAGTCAGCTCTCAGGGTCCCAGGGATCTCCCTCTGCCCTGGCACTGCCCTGGGTGACCCCTGTGTTCACTTGTGACCCCTGGGCCCTGCTTGGACCCGCATGCAGAGAGGAGGGCATGGTAGAGAAAAACCCAGCTAGAAGCTCTGGGGGGTGGGGGGAGGTTCTACAGAAGCCTGGGATGAGAGGAGACGGCCCTGGCATCTTGGAGCCCCCAGCCAGGAGGGCAGCCTAGCTTGGGTCCTGCTCCTGGGTCTCCCAGGAGCCACAAAGGCACACATCAGCATACACATTCACACACAGAGTCAGGCACAATTATATACACTGACACACACAGACACGGAGACCAGAGACACTCACACTCAGACACTGACACACACAATGACCCACACCCTCACACACAGTCACAATTACATAACTGAAACCCCCCCTCACACACACACACTGGAGACCAGACACATTCACACACAGATGCACTCATGCACATTGACATACGAAACCACACTCGCTCACCCACAGTGTGAAGAGGGGCTGTGCACTTGGCAGATAGTCCCTGGAGAAGGTGGAGGCCTGGCCACTGGGCGGGGGCTGCCCAGCCTTCGACCATCCCTGAGGCATCTCCTACTGGGGCTTCTTCCACCTCCGCTTTCGCTCCTCATGCCCTGGCTCAGAGCCTGCCTAGGAGGGGAGAGGCGCAGCAGAAGGCACACCTAAGGCACTGGTTGGGGGTAGGGGGACACTGGGGTAGAAGGAGGGTGATCCCAGGCAGGGCCTCCCACAACCCAGGGCAGGGGTTTCCAAGGATGAGAAAAACAGCTGGAAGTCACAGCTGGACCTTGGACCGGCAGACAGGCAGGAGAGTTCTCTGACAGCCACCCTAGGTGAGGACAGGGTGGTATCCCTAATAGCTCCCAACCAGGAAAGCATAATGACCCTGCAGGGCCAGGCCACTAAAGAGATTTTCCCAGGGGTTCCCCTCCCCCACCCCCAGCCTTCTCCCCGGGTGCCAGGTCTGCAATGGTCCCTTTGGTTGGAGACTTCCCTTTCTCTGCAGCATGTCTGATTGAAAGTCAAGCTCAAAGACAAGATCCCCATCAGCAGTGGAACCCAGTGACCCAGCTGGTGTTCAAATTGGAGGTGTCAAGCAACCGTTTCTTTGGAGCCCAGAGAAACATCCAAGATTCTTTGAAATGACAAAAGCCACAAAATGCCAGCCCTGAACATCCTGCCCATATTACTAAGATGTCCTGGAACTGCACTGACCAATTCTGGAAAGATACGTAGAATCAGGGAGAATTAAATGAGTGAATACAGGTACATGTAAAGTCTTTAGGACAGTGCCTGGCACCTGTAGTAAACACTCAAGAAGTGTTTGCTCTCACAGGTGGGAAATGGACACAAACAGACCAGATCACTTTCCCAAGGTCACACAGCTACTTAAAAAAAAACCAAACTCATTGCCATCAAGTCCGTTCTGACTCATAGTGACCCTACAGGACAGGGTAGAACTGCCCCATAGGATTTCTGAGGAGCGGCTGGTGGATTTGAACTGCCAACCTTTTGGTTAGCAGCTGAATGCTTAACCACTGCACCACCAGGGCTCCGTACGGCTACTTAGTGTGGGAAAAAACCAAAGTCTCCTGATTGCTTGTTCAGGGCC